AAGTAAGGATTGAATTTCTAAATAAAATTAAAGCAAATTACTGTTTACTGCAGCCCCCTAGCGGCAGGCCCTGGGTCGCAGGCGAGGTGCATGATACAGCACACAGAAACTGCTACTGTACTCCTCCAAATACATGAAGATATTTCCCACATCCTTGAGATGAGATAGAGAGAACGTGGCTTATGCAGATCTGCGTAGTCTCGCGTTAATTGAGTTTAACTTGTAAAAGGAACAGGAAACGAGATTTCCTACTAAATCAATATCCTGCAAGTGAAGTAAAGGTTAATTCTTGAAAGTAGCCTGGAGTTGCAACCGAGCTATTTGGAGAACATTTCTATTTAATCGCAAATAGAAAAGGAATTTCTAAACGCGTTCTTCGCTTCTCGGTAGCGTAGCTACTGGTAGGGTCTTCCGAGCCGAACACGCCGGAGGGTAGGTGCCAGACAAAATGAAACACACGCAAGAGCACAGGCGATAGGTGATTGTCCACCCGGAGGCTAACAGCTCGTACTTCTTAAATTTACTTGTTACGGAAACTACTTTCTACGCTTCACTGACATGTCTTTATTTTACGACGCTGAATGTAGCTAGATTATACAGAGTCTGATTATATGATTGATGAATTTGAAAGGATTTGGAAGGAAGCGTCGTGACCTAATCAAGATACAATTCTAAATCTTTGCTGGACGAACTGAGGAAAATCAAGATACACATTATTCATGATAATCGGTGTCCCAATTGAGATCCGAAGTGAATACATCAGGAATAAGGATCCATCGGGTTACCGCTACATTAACTCGAGGAGTGCTCTAAGTTCTAATATAGTATTTCTGAACATCTGAGCAAACTAACAATCCGGCGTAGCGGCCTCCGTAGTCTAGGGGTAACGTTCCCACCTCGTGACCCGGCGGAGGTCGTGGAATTTTTAAGGGCGGAAAAATTCAGGGAACAAATCCTCCGGGAGGGACTTTAAGCCGTGGGTCCCGTGTCGTAGCTTTACGGCACGTAAAAGAACCTCATGTCTCAAGGGAACCTCTGAGCCAAATTCTGGACATTTCCCGCTCAACAGTAGTCTCTAAAGCCTCTGGTAGAGGGGGGAAGCATCGAGATACCGCTAAGCCAGTAGAGGCCGAACTCGCTGTCTGAGTCGGGACTGATGGTACGCACCAATAGCGGTAGGGTATAGAGACTGGTAGAATATTGCAGGGGGACGCACAATGGACCAATATCTGGTCTCAGTGCATGTTAAAACCCACCCCCTCCAATAGCAACTACAACAATCCGGCGTCATTAACTTTCTAGGGGTTGAACAATACTTATTGCACAACAGAACATGCAGATAGTCCTCATTTACGGATATCAGTATTATCGTTACTCATGTCCGACAATGAATTGTATGAAAGGGTACTGAACATAGAATAAACTTGATTGTACATTTTGCGCAAGAGTGCAGCGCAGATAAAAATTTTCTTCAGAGTGTTGTAGAATAGCAAATATTCCAATGGCTGCGGATTTAGAACATACAATTTTCTGTAATCTCCTTAATTTCGCTTCCAAAGTATTCTGGATTTTTAAACTTTTGGCTCGAATATGCTACGAATTAAATGCAACTGTGATACAAGTCGCATACACCTACGAATTACAGGTACGTATTAGAGTTAGCGCCATAGCTCAAGCGGTTAGTCGCTGGCTTCCCATCGCGGCGGCCCGCCTTCGATCCCGGGTCTGGTTAAGTGGGATTTGTGGTGGACAAAGTGGCGCTGGGGCAGGTTTTCTGCGAGTACTTCGGTTTCCCCTGCTAATCTTCATTCCACAAATTGCTCCACATCACCCCCAACTATCATCTGAGGCTGGTACAATAGGCCAGAAATGGCCGCAGTACAAGGGACTTAGTCCCACCCCACTAGCAATAAAAAAAGTAGGTACGTAGTATAGGTTAAACCATCCCTTACGCCATACTGAAACCACAATAGATGGAGCATTATATTTAAGCACGTTAAGTGTGAATTATGTGAATATTTGATTATTTGAAGTCAGTATAAAATTATGTGTAATTAAAACGAAATGAGTTATTGTTCAGTAATATAGAGATCTCAGTAATATCAATTAGGCACGCATCAGTTAACAATGGTCATATTGCAGACACACAGATGAATTGTGTTATATTTCATAAATAGCGTAAGGTTCAAATATGAAACATGAATTGTAACTGGATAAAGCAACCATTTTATGATGCCAAAAGCTAATCGATGCTCATTGTATAAACTTGGTGCAAATAGGGTTTCACAGTATTGTACTTTCTATCGTTACTCACAGATAGTTTGAAAGCGGCATTTAAAACTAGAAAAATGTACTGTCATTATGCAGCACAGTGAACCTGCCCCATCAGTGCTTTATATTTGTTAATTTTTTTATGAACGGCACGTGGTTTCCTTGTCCTCGCGGATAATGTTGATGGTGTAATTAATTTTTCGGCTAAAAGGCAAAACCTTAATTGATTTTCGCTGTAAGCTTTACAATGTTGGTACGGGTTTCTGCTCGACGGTAATGAATTTTCCATTACTGTTTTACAGGAAGCGTAATGGATAGCTGGCTATGACAACTGCGCACAGCTACTGCGCATGACACACAGATTGAATTGTTGTCGTTAATGTTTTTGCTTTCACCCAAATTATTCTGAAATTGTATATTTCGAAAAAAAAAGGCATGAGCGTAGACTGACATACGGAGGGGAAATTTGTCACTAAATGTGACAAAATACAATAATAATGTTTTCTCTGTAAGGCTCTCATTTCGCTGTATAAACTCTTATGTTTACTGGGTTTTTGGACTTTGTCTGTCGCACGGTATTCTAAAGAACATAATATTTTGGAAACTTGGTCTATTTTCGCCTCAGATGAGGGAGTGGGGTGGCACGCGCTCTGTTGGGTACGTTAGAATGAACTAACCTAAATCACTGGTTCAGGTGTCTCTGACCCCCTCACCCGAGGAAATCAACAAATAATGTTTTCGAAACGTCGTGTTCTTTGGAATACCGGACGATGGAAAATGTCCAGAAACCAAGTACCCTTCTCTCTGTAGTGTAATTGTTTTGATTTTGGACATGTTTTGTGATGAAAATGTCGTACTGATCTTCATGGCTCTTATTTCCGGCCTACGTCATAGTTATCTTGCAATATCCGAAATCCTCTCTTTATCGAAATTCAGTATTGATTTGTTACTATATCTAAAATTGGAAATAATTGTAGTCCAATGTTTATTTGTGCCGATGTTCAGTACGTGAGGACAATACTGGGTTCTAAATAGTACTTAATGATTTTAATTTGTTTATTACTCACGGATGTCAACACAGACTTCTTGTCTCAATTCACACGGAACTTTAGGCCTAGCGACCTAGAGCCATAAGGATACCTAAGACGGTTAGCTATTGGATACAAAACGCGCCTAGGTGTAGTACCATTATAACCTATACCCGGTTATTTTTTATCACATTAGATATTACTTGAAAGGCGTGGGAGACGTTACGATTTATACTAAATTGGACGAAACCCTCATTTAAGCTCGCTAATAACATCCACAGCTACTGCCAGTATCACTGATAGAGAAAACGTTATCAAAATATATTTTAATGTAAATTTAAAGCAAAATATAGCCGAAATAAGGTCTGTATCCCAGCCGTATCATCTATGTCCGTACTAATTTTTCCACACTTGGATCTCTTTGCTATCCTGAAGATGGAGTCATTATATTCCTTCGAAATGTCATCAAAATTCTGCCAAATTACATGAAATCACACTCCGTAAGCAATGAATTTTGTGTAATTGTAATATGATGTTAATATTACACGTTAATCTGAAAATGAGGCGCCAAATGTAGTAACTCCATTGCCCCCCCTCTCGCTGGCCGACTTGTTACGGCGCAATTAGAGAGATTAGTGACCTGTGAATCGACAGCACTCACTGTCTGTTCTCCAGCTTCGGTTCAGTAACACGAGACAATTAAACCTTCTCCATACAGGGCTGCGTTCTGTGTAACCGGAGTGGATTCTTGTGCCCGGGAGACACGGTCCGCTGCCCCAATATTGCTGTAATCCCACGGACTTTATAAATATTGAGGACCTACGTCACTATCTGAACGACTGTTGGCTTAACGTGAAGTACTTTGCCCAGTTGGATTAGTTAGTTTGATGCATAACTTTTAAAATTAATTTTATTTCATAAGTAACTGAACGTATATTTGACTCTGCGAATTTTTTAAAAGTCTAGACCTTGTCAACCGCAGATATTTTATGTCCGAGATGTATAGCCGTCTGTTAACTAACATTAAAACGCTGTAACAAAATATCTTAGTAAAAAGTATAATGTTTTAAGACCTTCCCTTATCACGAGAAAAGACGAAGAACTACAACCAAATAAATTGTTGCATTCGCGACGGCATTTGTATTATTGTATATATATATACATTTTCATATATCCCACTGAAAGGGGGCATTGAGGCTCATTGCTACAAGCCGGAAGGTCGCGGGTTCGAATCCCGTTGTGGTAATTGAATTTTTCAACTGACATAATCCTTCCATTCTGGGACCGACTCAGCCTCTAACACAAATGAATACCAGAGATCTCTCTGGGGATTACGGAGGCCCGGCGCGTAAGGTTGGTAACATCGTCGCCATCTGTGAGCCGATTGTCTAGAAAATGTGGGAATCTCGAGGTCTCACAACCCTATTGGCATCCATGGCCTGTTCCAGAGATAGCTTTGCCTTTTGTCTTTAACACTGAAAGCAGTTTGTGGTTTAAGCCACTATGCTGGTATCCATAGAAGAATAGTTTGGCGGTTTAAGAACGAAACTGTTATCCCGAAAGGTTAGAATATGGTTTACCTCTGACACAGTTGTAATATTTCATACTCTTCAACAGGAATAAATGGATTATAAAATGATTTGGAACACGATTACTTTTATATTTTCTGCAGTGCTATATATGTTTATTTTATATTTTCAGGAGCCATCGCCATTCCATGACGCCCTTCTGTCCTCTTCCGGTAAGCTCGCTTCGCGTTTTTATAAAAGTACTTCGAATTCTATGGAATGACATTTGCTGGAATGTATGTAAGAATATAATTTATGTAATTTATTTTGAAGAATTTAATTCCATATATATGTCAGTTTCAAATGAAAGTCACTTTTATTGTAAGAAACATCCTCGCCTTCCCATCTGCAAAATTTCATAAAGTCGTTCTTTTGCACATCACGTAACTCGTATCAAGTTGTTTTGTTAATGCGCGTCAAAGAAATCGTGCGACTTGCGTCAACAATCTGTGAAATCAGTTCACTTCTCCACCAGTAGGATGCGCTGAAGATCTCTCGATGCTATTCAGTTACCATGCCTCAGTTTCGTGAGGAAACGGGGTAGCATGTAGGGGAGGAGCATAGTGGGAGGGGGAGAAGGAAAGATGAACTACCAGCTATTTACACTGCCTTGCCACTTTCCAACCCCTTCCATTTATTCCTACTTTAATCCCCTTTCTTGCCTCCCGTTCCGGTTTGAAATTCAGCTGGAGACTTGTTTGTGTGCACAGTGTATGGAATCTTAACTTCAAGAAGAAGAAGTCAAAGGTGCAGTAAAAAGCGTTAATTCATCTTAATAAAAATATTGAATTTTCATATTTTACCACTATAATATAAGAACAAATCATAGATAGCTTATAAATTGTTCGAAAACGAAGAAAACTAATGAATTTGGGGGGGATAAGAAATTACAACTATATTTACTGAAAAGTCAAGAGCACATGCAGCAGAAGAATTTTTGCTACTATTTATTTCTGAATTATGTATTTTCCTCCTTCTTATAAATATTAAAGAACAAAATTATAAAAATATAAAGTTCTCGATCTCAGGGCATAGTGCGACTGCAAAGATTAGGTAAATTGAAAAAAAATCCACCTCATCGGGACTCGAACCCGCGACCTTCCGGCTTGTAGCGTAGTGACTCAACGAACTACCTTATAAAGATGGAACTTATTATTTAAGAGGAACCTGTAAGGACTGGCATTGCTACTGCGTACATCATTGAAGCACTCTATTTCCCTAAACTAATACCTCTAGAATTTGTATTTCAAATTCTTTTGAGTCATCCATATGGATACAATAATGTACCAGGTGAAACGAGACAACGGTTTGCATTAAGCTCTTACACAGCTGAGAAGAGCGCTCTCCAGCCCAGAGAGTAATAACCGAGCGCCTGGTTTCCGTCCTGCACCGTAACGAGGGGCTGTCTTGACAGAGTGAACAGTTGCATTTCTCATAATTCAGGCTAAGTTTCGGTCTCTCGCTTGAGAGATTCTTTTGATTTCAGTGTTTCTTAGTTTTCTGCAGTCTTTGTTTAACATCCTCTGGGGCATTCTTTCTTTGTTTCCTTCTTCGTTCCTTTATGCCTTTCATTTTTCTTTTATTTCTTTCGGTTTCTATCTTAACCCCTCTTAAATCTTTTTGATGGTAATTTTCGAAGCCGTCAGTGTCGAAACTACATGTCGTCTACCGTTAAGCATGAATTAACGCATACAATTTCCGTTCATATTTCCAAGAGAACACAGAACGTTCGTCTTAAAACGACCAACCGGTTAATGCTGTTTAGGGAAACAGTCGCTGTTTATTGCGAGGACCTTACGGAACACGTAAATACACTGTGTGGGTAGAATGTAGAGACTTTTATAAGAATCCAGTCCGCACCTCACAGGAAACACATTACGTCTCCGCTACAAAGACCAACCGTTTAATGCTGTTTAGGGAAACAGTCGCTGTTTATCACGAGGACCTTCCGGAACACGTAAATACACTGTGTGGGTAGAATGTAGAGACTTTATATATAAGAATCCAGTCCGCACCTCGCAGGAAACACATTACGTCTCCGCTACAAAGACCAACCGGTTAATGCTGTTTAGGGAAACAGTCGCTGTTTATTGTGAGAAACTTAGGGACACACAGAGTCACTGTTGGGGAAAACGCAGAGATTTTTTTAATCTCAAAGCAGGTGATACATGTTACAACCACTGTGCTTTAAACAATTATGCCGTTGGCTGCTTGATAGAGCACAGAGGTTCGAATACCGGCATAATAAGATTATAATATCTTCACATTCACGCAAGCCCCTTGCACCCATCCTGTAGTTAAGGGGGGGGGATTTTCGGCTGGTATGAATTGCCCATAAGGTGAAATTGCTTATTTACTTGCATCTAGAGCTGCAGGAAGAATGAGTGGGCCCATATCTCCATTCCCCATACATACGCTTATGTCATATTAGTTAGTCACAGAAGAAAGTATACTTTCTTACTATTAATTTGTAGGTGTGTAAGTTTCTTAGCCGGGATAGCGTAGTCGGTATAGCGACTGGCCACCGGTTGGACGGCCGAGCGTTCGGAGTTTGAGTCCCGGTAGGGTGAAGAATTTTCTTTTCTCCATGTCGTCCAGACCGGCTCTGAGGCCCACCCAACCTCCTATCCAATGGGTAGCGTGTGCTGTTTCCTCGGGGGTAAAGCGGCCGGGGCGTGAAATAGACTAGTCACTTCCAGCTAGTGCCGAGGTCAAGGACATGTGGCTTTATACATCCACTCCACATACGCCTTAATGGCTTAGCGCTTAATTAGTAAAGAAGACAAACAACTTTACATTTTATAAGTTTCTTCGAAACATCTAAATTTGTTTCAGAGTAATATTTTGGCTTATAAATGAAATTATTTCATAGTATCAACCTAAGAACCTCAAGACATTTGCGTATTCCTTTTAACACGTTCTCTCAGATGGAAATATCGAAATTGTTACTCCTTGGTTTACGTCCCTCACTCCACGACTCCCTTTCACATCATTCTCACTTCCCTTACATTTACCTTCCAATTGGGTACTGCGTGAGAGCTTATTCTAAGGCTCTGAATACATGATGCATCGTTAAGAAAACGCCAAAATCAATTTGAAAGTACCTAGCGCCTGGTAGTTAGAACCTCCGCCACATGGATATGTCAGAGAAGATGCCGAAGAAGCACGGGGTTATTTAAAAGTCGTTGGATAGGTTGTTACGAACAAATGCTGTTAGCAGTTTCAATGCAGATCTGAAGGATTATATGCAGAGCAGAAATGAGATAGCACGTTATATATGCAGTGAAGGAGTTAGAACTTAGTGCCAGTAGGAGAAGGATGTCAGGGCATGATGATGGATGTTTTTGAAGAGTTTATTTTAAGAAGATGTCTCTCTCAACAGACTGTTAGTGGATGAAGTTTTGGTGTCTATAATGCTTATGGACCTTTACTGTGACTTCCCTACTTGCTCTGAGGGAATTTTGGGGCACTGGAGGAGTTTGTGTGGGTTTGAATGAAGATTGTATTTATTCACCGATGAATGGTTAGATGTATGTCAAGTTGCTGATGTTAACTTCCTTCACACTTCAGTGGCTCCATTATGTCAAGAGAGAGTGAGCCCTGGGAACACAATTTCGTGAATTTCTTCAGTAATCTGAAAGGGGTGATGTTTGTGCATAGTTACATAATTATATGCTATTAAACCTGCAGTCTTTTTAGAAAGACTGTCTCTGTCTCTATATTGTGACATGTGGGGAGTTTCTCAAACACGTTGTCATGGAGAGATTGATTTTTGAAAAACATCTGGTCACGGAACACGGTTTCCATGGATACGAAAACTGAAATTTGTAAACATTTGGAAACAAAAGTGTTTCTAATGAATTAGTGTACAGTTCCTGCAGCAGTGGATAAGCACTCAATAATAGGGAAAATTTAGATATGGTGACTTATATTCCGGCCGCCTGGGAGTTATACAAAAGGGTCGAGATTCATTCGTAAGAGAATTCAGAGGGCAGTTCACTGTTCAGCTGTAAAGTATTAACCACATAAGATTCGTTACGAAGCAACGACCAGCAAAGAGACATTGAAAATTTTATTTTGTGTGCTATAGTTAAGTAATCTTTAAGTGTTCTAATTTGTAGTTACGACCTGTGAGTGTCAGTAAATCTATTGGCTAATCCAGACTCCGTCTACAGTCATTAATACACGTGATAACACGTGACAATCATCATCATCAGTAATCTGTCAAGACGACAAGTCCACCGTCTCTTCCAAAACAATTCCTCCACTTAATGCGATCCAGAGATTTCTCCTTCAAATGACAGTATCCTCTTCTGTCCCCAAGGTCATCCAGCATCTTCTTACGTCTTCTGACAATATATAATATATATAGGGCAACAAAAATGTATACACAGTTCAATAGAGGTTATTTATGGACACAGCCACGAAGTAGAATCGAAATATAATGTAAGGTGTGTAGTGCGATATTATCTCAAAAGATGGAGCTGGCCACTTGAATGCCGAGCCAGGTTATCTAATGTGAGGACAGTCAAAGAATAAGGCGGCTGAATGCTATTGTAACGTGGACGGCGCAACGCTTGGTAAACATACTTTTCCCGCAGTGACGTAACAGCACTTCGCACAGTGACGTAATAGGGGATACCGCGGTTACTACGCAGCAATAAATAACTCTCGGCAGCGTTCCCCAATATATATATATTCATATTTCCGGGCACCTCATTATTTTTGAGTTCCTCTAGCTATACTTACAATATACACGTAATTTATGTTCAGAACACGAAATAATAATATGACAATCTTGTGACATATTTATTTTTTTTATGGCAGTAGTTTTAATGAAATGCTGTAACCGGCAGTGGCTTCAACATTCGAAACATAAGTAGACATTCCGAGTAAAATTGTGGAGCGTTACCGATGTTGTGGCATGCAACTGAAAGTTGGGCTTTTGCCAAAATGTCAGACTCAGCTCTGGAAGCACTTGAAAGGTAGAATAAGCAACATGAAGAAAGAGCATATCCAATGTTGTTAAATTAAAAAGGCTGCCTATGATGGGCAGGTCGCAGCTAGCATTACTTACTTATTTACTTACTTACTTACTTACTTACTCATGGAGCTCAGCCTTTCTTGAGGAGAAGTCAAATCTGCAGCTACTCAAGAATTTCCCAGAATTTTA